ATATCCTGAATGATAATCAAATTAAAATTATTGTTCTGGGCTCACGCTTATGCATCTGTGAGTAAAATTACTTCGTAGATAGGTAAATCAACTGGCAATGGATTCAAATTACAAGCATTATCACAGCACTTTTGTCCATTACTTTTGTATCTGGACACTTCGCAGTCTTCTGACGGCAAAGGATGTCCGAATACTGACCGTTACTGGTTAGTAAAAGGTTTAGTAACATCCTAACAATGAGTTGAATGTAATTAAGTGAGGTTTTGTCTCTACCAGCAACACTGAAAAAAACGATCGGATTTAAAAGTTAAAAATCAAGTTATCGCATTGGGGATGTGCTAGAAAGGTAAAGACAAAAGAGACAGGCGGTGAATGTAAGAGATATATAGTAGTTCATTGTTATTTCTACTAGTAATTATTCAAAATAGTACTACCATTTGCATCAAACCTCTTGAGAACCTTCCAATGTTACATTTAATTTCCAATTTATTGTGTAACATTTGTGTATATTGGGTATTTATTTAAGGATTATTAAATCACACTTATACAATAATCATCCATTCTATAATATTAATAATAATATTTATTATTATTATTATTATTATTATTATTATTATTATTATTATTATTACTTGACTGTCAGTAAGTTTCGTCGACGATATCGTTCGACCACCTCGAATATCGAGTACCTGGGTTAGTAGAACCGTGTAAGTTTGACTTTCAAATGAAGTCAAATAATGGGTTGTACATACTAAAAGTAAAAAAAAGAGCATAAGGAATCGGCCTGGCCGAATGAAACATCAAGCTAAGTTATTTGACTAAGAACGTGATGTGAAAGCTGTGAAAATTCGAAGAAAGACAGCAACCGAGTTTCAGTAAAATCTCCCTCCCCCTCCTCTCACTGTTGTGATACCTCTGAAACTGTGCTCGGTGTAGGGAACGGAAAGGCTCTTGCCTGAGGCTGGTTGACGTCTTCCAGTGAGAGGCGATTAGTAGTTATCTATCTTGTTCGTGGAGTTCCTTCCAAATTGTAATTTGCCTCTTTTCCTTTTACTATTAGACGCGCAGTATTAATTAAACTTCAACTAGTGGTGCTACATAAGCACGTACTTTCTCGCAGTTTTAAAGCAATATTATATGAGAATGTTAAAATATTCACAAGCTGCAATAGTTTTGACTTCTTTACCCACTAACTACGTATGAAGTAAAGACAAAATATTGTAAGGTTGCGGCAGAAACTGGTAATTTTTCATCAGAGTAACTCGTATAGTGGGCTCTGGAAGCAAAATAGTGGATAAATATTGCTTTCATATGTACTAGTAGTAAATTACTTTCTTTAAAACAGTGAGTAGTGAGAATCTACATTTTAGAGCCCTTGACTCCAAAAAGCTGGTTTATGGCAAAACGGTGGTCCATCCTTCCGACTCTCCGTGCATCAGTCCGTTTGTTCTACCCATCGAGTATCCCATCGTCCGTCCCACTGTCCGTCCCACTGTTCGTCCCAGGGATGCGACGGACGGACTGTGACACCATCTGTTCCACAGTCGGTCTCATCATCCATTTCACCCGTCCTACCCACAGCCCATCCTCAAGACTGAGAATTTGAAATGGATATTTTATTTTTGCGTATATTTTACACTAATCCTGAAAAAAAAAACCATCTTGAAACCATTCTCAAATAATTCAGTTATTTTTAAAATACCGTCTCTCTCTTTTGCATTTTTGCTTTTTGTTAGAAGCTGCAGGACGTATGCATCGTGTGCATATGGACGTATGAACGTATGCATATGTGTATATCACGTAAATCAGACGAATGGTCGTGAGGAAATTTTAGTTTGGTTTGGAAATTCTTTAAATCATTGACTTGCGGAGTACATATGACTGCGTATGTATACTGTGTATGATAGATATTATTGACAGAGAGATTAGGATTGGTTGAAAGGGATATTCAATACGAAAATATTTCTATGTACTCTCATAGAAAATCGTATTTCAAGCAACTGTTTCTGTTATATGAACTATGTTTAATGTAATATCCACATAGTAATTTCACGCAATATTGAAATAAATGTGTTAAATTATAAACTGAACCTGCAATATGTATTTATTTACGTCTTAAGAAAAAAATAGGGATTACGTTTTGAAACGTCATATGTCATAAACTTTTAAATAAGTCCAGAGACTATTTTACTAATGATTCAAGTAAAAAAGTCTCCATAGCATTCTAAATCAAGACGGATTGAACACAAAAGTTGATTTAAAAATGGCTCATTTCGTATTTCCGTTGATCTCTGAATTTTTGCAAATTGTAAAAGCTAAAAATTTGTCGACATCATACTACAATTGCAATCTTGAAGAAAGATTTTCGTATTGTCATAGATTCTTCAAAGAGAAAGAAAATTACATGATTCAAAATGAAACTCCCAAAGCCTTGAGTTCGTTCAAATCGATGTGGAATTAACACTTTTGGAGAAAATCGTCTGAACGGTTTAGACGCTAGTGCACGGACGAATGAATAGATGGAGGATGGACAGACATTTTGCTGCAAAACAAGGACCCACAAATCGTGGGTTCTGACAGTTGAATGTATGAGAGAAAGTAATTTACTGCATATAGGAACAAGAACTTTCCTCTTTTTCAGTATCAGGGATTCATATATTCAGTTATTCTGTCGATGAATTGCTACTTTTTGCCACAGCATTACTGTACTCTCTCTATCGTATGCAAGAAGTTTACGAAAATGTATAATTATGGTTTTACTATAATGTGAACTCATGTAAACTTTTTCTTGTAAAAAAATCTGAGACATATATAGGTAGCATTTGAGAGGTGTATTCTTGGACTAGAATTATACGATGATAGGATAGCTAGGAAAGAGGAAATGGTTTGATGTGGTAAGATTATCGATTAAGATTAGATTTGCTGCATTTACATTACCAATTAAATGTAGTAACATTCCTCTTGATTCACCAAAATTTAAAATAGAAATTAATTAATTAAAAAGCTGATTTTTTGTGCAACAAAAGTTAAACCAATGAACTCCGTTATCCCAATCAGTGAGTATTTAGTGTTTTCAGGTGCGTGAGCATCTTTATTCATTATGATGAGAGTCACGTTAGATCTCGCGCCGATCTACACTTCGACTGTGGGTCTTCCTTCACCAACTACTTACCTCAATCGGAGCTATGTCTAGGTTTCCTAATGGTCTCTCGATATGAGTAATAGGGTAGTTCATGTGTGTGTGGAGGTGGAGAGTATGGGACAAAATGAGAAAGAAAAGGTCGTTCTCAGTCCGTGGCCTGATTGTTGGGGTACAGCTGCGGCATTCGCGTAGGAGTGATCGGCGAAACCGCAGGATACTACCCATCCGAGCAGCCGGTCGCATTAGATAGCTGCCGAATTCGACCTAGCTATGTAGCTGGTGTCAAAAACCCAATTAGGTAAAAACTCGAAATACACGTGGAGGCAAGTCAGGCAGGAAACAATAAATATACTTTTAATTGAGTTGCATTAGGAAACACATTGTTTTCGAAGCCATCTAATAGAAATAACGGCGATGAATGGGTTTATGTGGGTTTTTCTTTGCTATTTTCGTGTCATTTTTCGAGTAAAATTTTCGTGTCATTGAATTGCAAAAGTAATTATTCTAAGAGAAATTAGTTAATGTAGACGCAAAACGCTTAGTGAAAAAAGTGCCGAGAAACCAGTTAATCGCCGCGAAACGCATTGTAAGAATGTGAATAGAGAAAGCCATCTCTAGATGTAAAGTATGTCATCTTAGACTGTTATATTCAATTCTCGGCATCCAGTCCATAAGATCGATATATCTCATTCAAAAATTCAAAATATTATACCTTTATTTGTTTAGTTTAGGGTGTGAATTTCTGTTGTTGGAATAAAATTTGCTATATAAAGCATTTGCCAAAAAAACACGTGAAGTTGACTTTTTCGTTTTTGAGGCAGTGGACATAAATTGGTTAAAATATCTTAGCAACTTCATTTTGCATCTTAGGTCATCTTTCAGTCGAATGTTCTCCTTGTTGCTCATTTATTTGCTTCGCATTTTGTGTGTTTTTAGCTTATTCCCTATCTCTGATAATCAAGTAGTCCGTTATTTATTCCTCTTATTAGTTTTTACGTATTTTGCTTTGTATCTGTGAGTACTAAAAATTTTTGAAGCAACTTCGAGGCAAAATACGATCGAACTGCTCTTGTGTATGGCTTTGTGTGTGTGTTTGTGAAAGGTGAAATGTTAAAAACAATTGAGAACCTCTTCCATAGTGTGGATTATTTTTTTACAATTTTAGAATTTATTTGGATGATTATAGTTACGTATGATAATTGTGAAGACTAATGTTATACGCGTGCCACAAAGGAAATTCCAATTAATGTATTCATTGCACAATGGGTACAAATGCATTTGCAGCAAATTTTGAGTTAACATTATGAATATAAAGTAAAAATTATTTTATTTTGTGACGTTTCGAATGGTATTCAATTTGCTCGAACAGGTATTGCGTTCTAGCTGTGGAAAATAAATATTTCCCATAACATTTTTATGGTAACTTAACTCGGAACTCAATTATCTCAATACCATTTTTAGTGCACTTATATCCTTTGTGCTCCAAGCTCTTCAATTTAAAGACAGAAGTGGGTCAACTGTTTAAGCAAGCAATTGAAGGGCTCAGCGAAAAACATGGGGCAATCACACATTTTTGTGAAATTGAGATATTAGCATTAAATAAAAATTCAAATAATATTATTTTAGTGTGATATGTTATTTAAATGCAGCTGAGCAATATGCAAGTGTACAGTGTTTAGAAGTTTAATAATTCACTGAGTTATATTATGAAAGTTCAAGTAAAACTCTGAATATCTCAGAACTAGGTCAATATGGGATAGCCCCTTGTTCTACTGAGCCCTTCAGTTATTAACATTGTGTTTGTTTGTTGTTTTAACGCACGAGCGCGCGAGTGTGTAATGGCGTCCGGTGTGGGCAGGCGGGCGCATCGACCACGCGCACCACCACAACAACGCGTTCCGCGCGCTGGACGAGACGCTGGCGCTGGAGGCGGCGCTGCGGGCGGCGCTGGCGCTGGTGGACGCACGCGAGACGCTCGTCGTGCTGGCGGCCGACCACGGCTCCGTGCTGTCGCTCGGCGGCCTCGGCACGCCCCGCGGACGGCCCGTGCTCGGTGAGTCAGGCTCGCGCTCGCGTACTAAAACAAGGAAACCTATTATACGTAGTGATTGTAAAATTAAACCCTTTAGTTTTTAAAAAATCGCTTTTCGAAAACAAGTATATACCAACTTATGGCATTATAAAAATGAAGATTTATCGTATTGAAGTATTTGTTGACAAAATTATTATTAAGGGAGGAGTTTTTGAGATAAAATTATTTTGATGCTTTTTATATTTTCCCATTAAAACCAGTAAATAAGGGAAAGTGATTTAATATTTCGCCATTTGTGATTTTCAACAATTATAAAAGCGTAAGAAGTGTAAAAACGTTTAGAAGTAACGTGTGCGCCGTAAGCGTATGGCCTTCCTCTTCTCCGTAAAGACAACTGAGGAAGCTGAGACTTCTTGAGATGACCCTGAACGCTCAGACTTACAGGAGCAATTTTTTAATGGCTATTATTATTTTTTACTTTGTTTTGTCCATTAAATCTTAATCATACATATACAACCACTCTGAAATTAAATGTTTTCAGACATCCATGTGTCATTGTCATTGACGCATTCCTAGATGGAGAGCGAACTCGAAGGAAACCATAAAATGAAATTTAGGTATTATTTTGCAGATTCACAAACATTTCCTACTTTGTATGCGATTTCGCATCTTGGGACCAATTTGCTCTTCATCGCAGATTGAAAACCTTCAGAAATATACTGCACCGACCGTTAATCATACAATTAAGTTTTTTTCTTGGTTTGATAACATTTCGCATTTTTTGCAATTGCTAAAATGTACCATCTCTAATACATAACGAAAATTTATAAATATTTCATGGCCTCAATAAGTAGTAAAAGCTATAAATATTTACAATCTATTTCATAATTGAAATAATCAGTATAAACTCCACAAATAGACATTTGCAATCAATTTATTTGTTGAAAGAATCAGTCAAATTTGAATAGTTACTTACGTAACTAGTACAGAACGTGTCTTTGATGTATGAAAGACATGTTGATACCCATTTTGAAATGAATATGCCAAAGACACTTCCATTCGAATTGCATTCATTATTTTTTAGTACGATATCATGAAAACGTACAAGTATATACCCCTCGGATCGTTCTCATGAAACAAGGAGACAAATATGATGATTTATGCTGCCTCAGTGTTTTGTCTACTTTGCAATACCCAGATGTTTCAGCCGGCTCTGACTTCTTTGCGGTATGCGTGCGGCAAAATTGACTTTGCCGAACGCGCACCTCAAAGTAGCGTTCTCCAAACAAGAAACAGTGAAAGTGAATATGAGTTTCAATGCATAATTGCAGGACGAGATATTTAAAATATGAAGTGAAATTTGTACTTTTCTTGGCACTCTTAACAGAATTATAACAAGAAATTAACAATATTAGACAATTATTATTGACAATAGTTACAACAACAATATTGTCAATATATAACATTCGAATGAAATAAAATAACTTTTTAGGAGTATTTTATCTATTAAAACGGAAAGGAGAGGAACTTCATTAGAGGTTTTTACTACCAACGAGGATATTTAGAGCTGATATTTGGAATGCATATCTTGGTGGTAATATGCTTTAAAAGAAATATTTTTATTTACAGGCCCTTACTAAGGCTTTGCTTGTGAATTTTTCAGAATTACCGAGAAAGAAGTGTGTAACTCACAAGAATGTGAGCAGCGGATGTGGAATGAATGTGTTTGAAATGAAAAGGGAAATATTAGATTGAACAGATGCCTAATTAAGTGAATTGTGCATGCCGTTATGTAATGAACCACTTTGTTCCTATACCGAACAGATTTTGTGCTTGGGCGGATATCTGCTCGCTGCAAACATTTTCTTCTCAGAGCACAAGTATAGTATTATATAATACTTATTGAATTTGGGGGTTTCTTGAGGAATGGTAAGTTTTCCTTGTGTATTCAATAGGTTATCAGATATTTAGCGAGAGCATAAGATATGACGTTGCTGTAAACGATGGTGTGTTGTACACAAATCATGATAATGTGAAAGGTTGTAGTTTCCGAACACCAACGGTTCCGTCTTCTGTTTAAGTTTCGTTTGCCTTTGCCGTTCATCGTTGTGTAGGATTCCATCCAGTAACATTCAATGGCACGACATTTGCTTTGCACTGGTGTGTTCACTTAACGTTTACGTTTCAACATGAGTCTCTGTACACAAGATTGACATGTGAACTCTCGGATCATCCGGTGCTCTAAAAAATCTAAATTAGGAACCAGAATATTCGAGGTTGTTTCCTTATTTGAATCCAGATGAATTTTTTGTATTTTCAACTTTTCAAACATCCATATTGTCCTACTTCCACATACAATGTTCCAGTGTCTGATACTATAAAGACATGGCTAGTATTTTGCTAATGAAACTTTTCATTAAGATCTTATAAAGAGTAGTTTTATTTTATTTTATTACATTAAACTCCTTCATGGAAATCCACTGTTCTACCGCAGTAATCCACACTTCTTGAATCTTTTATAGAGCGTCCAAACAATCTAAAACGTATTATAACTATTATTATTATTATTATTATTATTATTATTATTATTATTATTTTCGATATTTTCATGGATGATCGTTTCGAAAAATTTGTAGGGTTTTAGAATAATTTAAGATTACAATTTTTATTCTGATACTTGCGCTGAAGATGGTGATATACGAGTTTATTTCGTGACACATCTACTTTCAACACTTCCCCCTATGTCCTGGTTTATGATGTTAGGACCTCTCTCCATGGTATATTTCCTTCCTAGAATGAACACCAGGAAGTGTATTGTCTGAGGTCTCCCACTTTTCGCAGAAAACACTTATGCTATAGCTCTTACTTCTCTAGAAATGGACACTACATACTGTAATCACAAGAAATGTGTCATACTCATATTTTAATTCCAGGATTTGACTGGTCGGTCGACCAAAGAGAACGTCTATGTCGTGACGTCATAAATACTCGTCTCACGGCTCGCGCAGTGTTATTTCAAGCAATATAAATTGGTAGGCGGAACACACCTTCATTATTTAAGTGACGTGTGAAAACAGGGTGGGTTGCTTCATAGGATCCGAGATGGGCAGGAGAAATGCTTATGCGAAAGGAAAATGTTAGAGTTAGGAAAAGAAGCATGAAAAAATGTAGTTAAGACAATGTTTGTGAAGAAATATCGTACTGTTTGTATGTAATAGATTTTCTACATTCGCCATTGAAAGCCAGACCGAGTTTTTGAAAACAATAAAAGCATTCATCTTTTTGGGATGGCATAACTACTGGATAAAAAAGAACCTCTTCCACTCATGTCTCAAGAAACTCAATAGTTTGTAAGATGTCAGGGCTTGCTGATTATTTTTATTGTTGTACTTTAAAAGTAATGGTTAAAAATATATTCGTCTTTTCAAATATAAATGTCTCAAGATGAGCAGTTTTCGATAGACTATTATCATTATCAGATCTACCTCCAGTGATTCCAAAATATCGTAAAGAATAGGTCAAGGTCATATTGAAAAATAGTGTACTTTATTTAACCAAAAATATAATGGTAAAGATAAATCTTGGTCCACTTTTTAAAATATATTTTAAAAGTTAAAAATTGTAATATGGAAAATTTATTACAAATTACACCATTGAAATGTGCAGGAAAAATCGTTTGAATTTGTTATATTAGCAATTAATGTAACTGGTATTTGATTGCTTAAATGTTAAGTTTCAGATTACTTACAAAAACGTATAGATTGGTTGTATAGTTAATCATGAATTAGAGCAAGTAGCATAATTAACTAATTAGGGGTTAATGATTCGAGAAAACTGTTGAATGAAAACATTAACAACAATATGTTAACATATTATGTAAAGAAAAGTATATTGAATAATGCAGGTTCGTGCAAAACTACCGAATTAAATTAATTAATCGTATTTAGTTTATATCATATCTATCGGAAAAGTGTCTACTATCTCACTTTCTGAGTCAGTCAGTTTTCACAAATAAAATCTATCATTCTATCGAGATATAATGGTCATTAATGAGAATGTAATATTTGTGACTTTTTGGAAAGAAAACTCATTATTACCGTGTTGACTCTTGAACTTAATGAAGGTTGAAGAAACTTAATAACCTAATACAAAAGGTCAAAGAAAATTTCAAAAATACATGGAAGTAAGTGCATATGTAAATATTTATGCTTTTAGGGGATATATTCAAATGCTTATATCGTCATACGAATTTAAACTTATTTTATAGTTTCAATTTGATATATAATAATAATAATAATAATAATAATAATAATAATAATATAATAATAAATAAAAATATAATATAACAATATTTTAATTGTCTGCTAGTGAGCTTTCGCTCGGTGGCAGAGTTTTATGCACTTATACAGAGATATTAAATGTTACATACATAGGAATGCATATATGTTGAAAGTCAGACTAAGTAAAAACAAACAAGACCTAACATGCATAGTTATTTGGCATCACACCAATTCTCTAGGCGTTTTCCGGAAGCAACGCACACTGGAGGGAAAGTCGCCAGTACTGCAGCAGGTATTGTTCCAGTCAGTTATTGTCCGGTTGCAAAAGAGTATTTACCTATCGTCGGTTTTTTGATTCCTATATTTGATTTATATTGGATGATCTCTCTCTTCGAAAATATTGAGGTGCCCTATCCTAGTTCGAATGTCACTAAACGCTTTACATCCAGTGTATGCTTTGAGAAGGTTTACTAGTCTAGCGTCTTTCGACGTTTGCCTAAGGATTCCCATCTCAGTTTGATAATGTTTTTTTCCAACAAGTTTTATTGCTCTATTTTTGAATAGGTCTAACAAATTTATCTGCCGCAGCCTATACGGGTCCCAACACGCGGATGCTATATTCCATACCGGAGCACAAGGGAAGTATACGCTAAGCGCTTTGTGTATGCGCGTTTCCTTTCCTCAATATCCGCATTACAAAATGGAGTGATTTCCAAGCTTTGCGCGCACGTGATTTGATGT